GTAAGGAGCAGAAAAAAGGCCAATTTTGCTGCATAATACATTGTATGAGGTTGAGTAATACATAATAAAGTTGGAAAGCTAGGTTGGACCCAGGTTATGAAGGGCTTTAAATGCCAAACATAGGTGTCCATATTTTATACAAGAGGTAATGAGGAGCCACTTAAGTTTATTTAGCAGGGGAGTGATATGATATGGCCTATACTTTAGGAATGTCACTTCAGCATCTAAATGGAAAATGGATTAGAGAGGGGAAAACTTGAGTAAGACAGGCCATTTAGGAAGCTATTTAAATAGCCTAGGAGAGAGAAGATTTTTTTTTTTTGCCAGGTGATGAATTCTGTTTTGGAAATGTTGAATTTGAGATGACTGTGGGGCCTAAAGTTGAATTGCCCAATAGGCAGGGGATGATTTAAGACTAGAGCTCAAGAGCTCTAGTTAGAGATATAGATCTGGGAGTCATCAGTATAAAGATGATCATTGGACCCACGGAAGCTGATAAAGTTACAAAGTAACAGCGGGGAAAGAGAATAGAAGAAGGCATAGGACAGAGCATTAACGTATACCTAATAAGGAGGCAGGATAGGGTATGAACTTCAAATTAAAGGCCTCATTTCTAAGGGTACTCTTGCCCTATTTAAAATGTCTAAGTATCTATGGCATAGTGTTATGAGTTCCAGGTTCGCAGGTAAAAGCCTTGAGTTCAATTCCTTACTGGAACCTATAATGTACCTGGGGTACATTACTCATTTTCCTCATCTCTAAAATGGAAATATCAATCAAGATGCTTGGTGATGGCTCAGGATGCAGTGGATGACCTTTGCATCTTTGATATCTGACCAAGCTCTAAGTGTTCCACACCACCCTCTTTAGTCCCCTTATGGCCACTGGAACAAATAGTTCTTATCCATCCATTCTGCTGGGAAATCATTACATGTTTGGGGCAGACACCCTCTCAACAACGGATATGAGGTTTATCAGTTCCCCTCAACTTGGTTTAGCCTGTCTGCCAAGATGCTTTTACCAGGTCGTGGCCACTGAATGCTATAACTTCTTGGAGCCGCAGGTGAGAGTTGTGTGGCAGGTGGACACCGAAGGTGAATGAGTAGCCTTGAAAAGGGATCAGAAACCTTCACACTAGAGGTACTAGTCCTCTCAAAACACTGCTTCATATACAATGGTATTGAATGGATTTGGAGTCAGAAGACCTTGGCTTTATCCTTGATTCTTCATTCAAACATACCCCACATAACCAATCTACTTCCAAGACTTGTCATTTCTACCACCACAACATCTCCAATATAAAGCTCTTTCTTTCCAGTTATATAGCTGTCACCCTGATATAGATTCTCATCACCTCACATCTGGACTACTATGAAAACATTCTGATTGGTCTTCCTGCTTCAAGTCTCTCCAAAGTCTCTCCCTACTCCAATCCATTCTCCACTCTGCTGCTAAAGGTAACTTTGTGAAGTGCAGGTCTGACACCAAATTTTGGTGGTTCCCTATTCACTTCCAAGATCAACGATAAAATCCTCTGACATTTAAAGCCCTCCACAACCTGACTTTTTCCTCACTTTCCAATCATCTCACTTAACTTTTTTTTCCTATATATTTTACAATTCAGCTATTTATTACTGTCCTCACATACAACACTTTATCTATAAACTCCTTTCATTTGCTTTGGCTGCCCCCAATGCCTGGTATCCTTACTTCCTTATTTCTGTTTCCCCACTTCCCTGGTTACCTTCAAGACTCACCTCAAATAGCACTTTTTGCAAAAATCCTTTCCTGTTGCTCCCACTGCTGGTACTTTCCATCTGAGATTAACTTCTGTTTATGCTGCACGTATCTTATGTGCATTTTTTTCTTGTTTTCTTGCCCAGTAAAATGGGCAAGCGCAGGGACTTTGTTTCCTACCTTTGTATCCCTAGCATTCAATGCAGTGAATAGTAAAGGCTTAATAAATGACTATTGATTGATTGACAACTTTTAGAGAAAGTAAAACTTAATTTGGCTAAGTGCCTAAAGGAATAATATGATCTTTCTTTGTCATTGCTTCTAAGCTGGAAGCAGAGACAGGTCTTCTATTTCATGACCCATTTGGACCATAGTCAAATTTTTAGTAGATAGAAGTGGCAACAATTGAAATTTCATGGAAGTGGCAACAATTGAAATCGTGATGTGCCTATTTGTTTAGAGAGTTCCACTAGGGTTGGCTGCCAAACAATGATTTTTATTGTTGCTCACAGAAACTCATGAAGACTGTCTCCTGAAATGTGTGTGAGGTAGAGAAGATAGATTGTAATCTGCCTTGGTTAAGGGCAGATTTCTTAATCCGATATAATCATACTCTTGAAATCATTCTTAAAGTATATAATATATATAAATATATATGTATAAAATATGTATGTCTTCTTTAAAGTATTGATATCTTATTTTCGAAAATTGATATCTTGTTTTCCTTTCCATATATGAGGAAATTAAGCGAATAGATACTTATATGTATGCATATATACATATATGTGTATGTATATACAATTATTGTGTGTGTGTATCCCACTCTTTACCTCCATGCTGAGAATCATACTTTAGAGAGGGGTAGGGAACCTGCAGCCTTGAGGCCATATGTGCTCTTCTAGATCCTTGGGTGCAGCCTTTTCTGAGTCCAAGTTTTACAGAACAAATCCTTTTATTAAGGAGATTTGTTCCATGAAGTTTGGATTCAGTCAAAGAGTCACACTTGAGGACCTAGAGGGCCACAGGTTCCCCACCCATGCTTAGAACAAAGAATAAAAAAGAAGGGACAAATAAGTTCAGTAAAAGTAACTTATACATTAGTACCGTGCATACTCATGGTGCCTCACCTCTACAAAGAAGGTAGAAAAATGCTTTTCATGGATTCCTGGAAACTAAATTTCTTTAGAATTATCACACAATGCTCAGATTTTTGTAGTTATTTACATTTACATTTTTAAATCATATTTATCTGTTATTGTATTTTATTCTATTTCATATAACATTCTCATGCTTCTATTTATTCGTTTAAGAATATCAGTTTTAATGCTTTTTCTACATGCTCTGTCATCTGAATTTGATTTCTAACTTTAAAAAGTATGATGAGGAGAAAAGACACAATGGAAAGACTCCTGGTTTTGGCCTCAAATTCTGGCTCTGCTGCTTTCTACCTGGATGACTTAGGCTAAGAGAGTTTAGTTAAGTAAGATGTAATATTATTTGATATTTGTTATTCAGAAAAAAATTGTAAAATTAATTCCATGTTATTATCTTTCAAAATGTGCCTTGGTAATAAAAGCATTTTATAGCACAGGTATTAAACTCACCTTGTCATTTCAGGCCCAAATAATACTGTAGTGTTTCTGGGTGCTGTTTGGATTCAATTTGCAGGAGCATAGAATAGAATTTTGTTGAATGATTGTCAAGTGGCCAAAAGCTGTCAGAAGAATTTAGTTTCAGAGCATTTAGAGAGAAAATAAGAAATGGAAAGTAACCAGATTCCAAACAACTTAGACTGCCCAACAACACTCCAGATGACTGGTAACTCCAGAAAGGGATATTAAAGATATTTTCATTTAATTACCTAAACTTATTGAAGTTCTAACCATTTTGAAAAATTTGAAATATGGACTGATGAGATTGAAGGAACTCAACCAAATATAGATAGGAATTTGGGCAGCAAAAGGAGTTTTCAACAAAAATAAGCAAAGAAAAAATGATTTAATGCTCAGAAGAACATTTCAGAAAATACTCTGATATTTACCTAATGAACACAACTGACAAAAAGCCTTAGTATCTGTTACTTTTGCTTTAGAGCCACAACTAACTCAGATTCTTCCTCACCTCCCTTTTTTATTCTTTCTTTTTCATCTCTATGGAGCTTTAGAAGCCTGGATCTCCTTTTCCTTTTTTAGCATAATCCATTCCATTTGCCCAAATTTTGTCATTTTAAATTTCTTTGTGCATTGAACTGTTAGAACTGAAAATGTTAAAGCACAGTGAAATTCTGGTGCATTTTTATGGAGAACTGATGGTCCTAGAGACCTTATAAGGAACATAGCTTTCTTCTCTCAGAGAGATGGGGACTATAGATAAAGGATGTGCAATACAGTCAGTCAAGGTTACTATGTCCAACAGCTTTGCTTAAATGTTTTTCTTTCCTTCAAAGAAATATTTATTTGGTCTTTGAGGAAGACTGCAGGGCTAAAATAATGGTAATAATAAAGTTTTTAAATAAAGTAAAGAGACCAAAAAAAAACAGATAGGAGAGATATTAGGGGCTCTCTACTCCAGTGTCACGAACTAGTAGCATATATAGATGAGAAAATCCTGAACTCCCTTGGTATCCTTGTTTCCCTCTATCTGGAATTGGGGAAGAAATATTGGAACTGACATCCCAGCATGTGATAATATGGACAAACTTCTTTCTTCTCACTTTCTGTTAAGAAACAGAAAGCAACATCAGATCTGACCAACCTTGTTTCAGGAACATCGGTGGGCTTCAGGGGTGGGGAACCTATGGCCTGGAGGCCACATATGGCCCTCTAGGTCCTCAAGTGTGGCCTTTTGACCGAATCCAAACTTCACAGAACAAATCCCCTTGTGAAGTTTGGATTCAGTCAAAAGGCCACACTTGAGGACCTAGAGGGCCACATGAAGCCTTGAGGCCTTAAGTTCCTCACCCCTGGTAAGTAACAGAACACCTGTTTTACCCTTTAAGTGTAGGTACTGGCATTATTTATGGCCCATTTGGGCAACTAGCCCATTTGCAGCTAGGTGTGTCCTGCTAAATTTAGAGAAATGTTTGGGTACTTTCAAAACCACTAAGATTTTTGGCTCTGACTTCAGATAAGCAGGATAAACAAACTCCTGCTTTGGTAAAAATCTCATTTCAGTCTTCTTAGTTTCCAGTCCATCTAAGCCAAGTGTTCAAAGAATTAATGTCTCTAAAGTGCCTTCTAATGAGTTTCAATGCTTTTTTTTAGGTTCGGTTTGGTCTTGGTTTATGTTCATCATGGAACAGGTAACTTCATGTTTACTTGAACAATGGACCTCTTTTTAAAGGATGCTAAGAGTTTATTGGTTTGGAATGGCCTTTAGTGTTGTTTGGCTTTTAATATCGGCTCATCAGCCCATTCCAGGCAAATGACTTATCTAAATTACTTGAGCTTCCTTATATATTTGCTATCACATATACAACAAGCATATAAAATAGGAAAACCAGCATTCAAGTCTTGCCTCTGACATATACTGGCTCTGCATCCCTTTTCAAGTTGTATCCCCAGATCTTAGCAAGTGCCTGGTACAAGTAGCTGCTTAATAAATGGTTATTTGTTGATTGACAAGCTCCCAGTATGCTAGGCAACTTTCTAAGACTACATGTGAAATCATGAGTCTGGTCCAGTCCCTTCCAATACATGTATAGATGTGTGTGTAATACATATATATGTATTATATATTACATATGTGATTTTTGGTTTTTGATGGCTCAGAGTTAAGCGTAAATAGTAATTGCTTTTGTTCTGGCCAGAAACTCAGAGAATCTTCTGTGCTAGACATCTCTCCATGGAGTTTTAGAAGCCTTAATTTCCTTTGCCTTTTTAGGATAATCCATTCCATTTGCCCAAATTTTATCATTTCAGATTCATTCTTTTGTGAAGTCAAGCTAGGCCATCTTGTGTCTCAATTCTTACCTAGCTTTTAATCACTGAATGAGTGTTGCCTCAGACAAACTCAGAACTGGAAAATACCTTAGCTTAAAAAGGCCAGGGTCTCCCACTGCATCTGGGGCCATCTCCAGTTGTCCTGACCTATTGTCTTGCCACTGGACTCTGATGACTCTGGAGGAGAGAGGGAGGCTGATTACTTTGCACAGCCCTTCCTCATTTAAATCCAATTCACTTGAAAGTCAAGACATTAGCCTTCTAATATCATTGGTCCTCTTTGAGAATGGAGGATGAAGAACAACAAAAATTTTATATATGTATATGCATGTATGCACACACATGTGTTTATATATAAAACAGTATTTTACAAAAACAATCCCTCCTTTTTATCCTTGCTGCCTCTTTTTCTTTGGTACACGTCTGTCTCTCTCATATACAGAATATGAAATAGTAAAAGAAAAGAATTAATGTGACTTCCAAATTGTTAATAAAGATCAGATGTTTTTTTCTAATTTGAGACAAAGCTACAATTCTATTTTTTTTTTCAGGCGCAGCTGCAAACCATGTTATTTACATTTTCTCTTCATCTAAAATAGCTATTAAACTTTGGTTTAAAAAATTCTAAAAATTCATCTAAAATGTTCCTCAAAGTTCCCACTGCCCTCATGATCATCTACAATTCCTTTCTTTAGATTCCACAAGAATAATTGCTAGGCTTAAAATATGACAATGTTCCTGCTTCAAGGTATATGATTGGGGCTAAAAAGGCTTGGTATTACTGTTTTGGCTTCATGGCCAGTCTCTTTGCCTTAGAGGGGCAGCTGCTGTCTACTGGCTCCTCTGCTTCTGTTTCTGCCTCATATGTTATGTGTCTTCACTTCTCAAATTAATTCTGCTCAAGTCCCTGGCTGCCTGGATGGTATATTTTTTGTCTCTTCTCAATCAATGAAATATTGATTGATACTGACTTATTCCAGTCAGTGTTTTGGTGATTACTTAGGGTGTGCTCTTCTACCTCCCTAACGATAGGGTGTTCCTTATAGTGTAGCTCCATTGGCAAATGTTTCTAAGTCTATGCTTCAGTTTCCAGCTAGTCAAAAATAAGTTACATTAAACATGGTTTGGACAATAAGGAGGTGGTGTTCTTAAGGATAGTTTAGAAAGCTAATGAAACTGCTCAAACTATTTCAAGTCTTGGATAACCTGTTTGCAAACCTGATATTTGCCATGTATATACACACATACATGTACGCATGTATATATATATATACATACATACACATGTGTGTGTATGTTATGTGCATATCTATCTACACACATATATGTATATACATATATGTATACATGTATAATGAAATGAGATTTAAAAGATTAAGGTTTAGAAGGTTAAGTACCTTGCTTGTCCATGGTACACACCTACAAATTGGCTGAGATAGGATTTGATAAGTCCAGTCTATAATACTATTGTACTGTGGAAAGAGGACTTGCAATAGGGAGTACATATAGACTGAGAGGGCCTGGATTCACATTAACTCTGTGAATATAACAAATCACTTAAATTCTCCAAGCTTTGTTTTCCCCATTAAATATATATATATATATATATATATATATATATATATATATATATATATATGTATGTATGTATGTATGTATGTATGTATAACTTACACTAAATGAGGTCCAAGCTTCCTTCCATCTCTAAATATAAGAACCTAGGCTGATTATTTCCATGCAACTGAAAGTGTGCGTTTAGACCTGGGATACTCTAATGTGTTATTTTAGCCTTGTGGTTCACCTTGGTCTATGTTGATTGAAATGTGATTTAAATAGTCCACTTCTTTTTGTATATTTCCTATAGTGCTCAGTCAATAGTTATCTAGTCAATGAGCATTTAATAAGTGTCTACTATGTGCCAGACACTGTGCTAAGTGCTAGGGATTCAAAGAAAGGTGATGTCCCTGCTCTCAAGGAACTCACAGTCTATTGGAGGAAACTACATACAAACAACTATGTACAAACAAAACATACTCAGAATAAACTGGTGATAACCAATAGAGGGGAGGCACGTGAATATTTGTGATCATATAATCAGTTGTATAAAGTAGAGGAGTACTGTACAGAGATTTTTAAATTAATCAAGATAGCATTGAAGTTCTGGACTCCATGTTTTCTTTTGCTGACTTCTCAAGACTTCCCATTAAAATAAAAAGTGATAATGATGGAATGAGTCTTTACGTTAGTGGTTGGTCATGGTTCATGTAGTATTGCTCTTATTTTTTGTCTGCCTTGAACCCTTACTTCATGGAAGATGGGCCTTTGGCCATGATAGAAAGACAGAAAGGATGCCGCGTGAAATGAGAAGACAGAAGCAATAGGACCTCAGTCAAAGTCATAGAGTGACAGACAGTGAGGGAGCATGATGGTAACAGACTTCTCCTTGCCACGCCACTATCATTGGATCTATTTGCCTGACCCAAAGAGATGAGCATCTTCAGGGAAAAGCAGTCAGAGGTCCCTACTACTGACAAGATAGCCAAGTCTGAGAAAAGGGGCCAACCTTGGGAGATTCTGCCTTTTCCTGAGTCCATCAGATCCAAAGTTCATGTCCCAATGATGGAGGAGTCAAAAATCCCATGTATGTCAGCAATGTATCATTATCTAAAATGGGTTCTTACCATGGAGTATAGAGGTCCGTGGATTTCAGGGGAATCTGTGGACTTGGATAGGGAAAAATTACACTTCTAATTTGACTTACCTCTAACTAAAATTCGGGGTTCTGTTTGATTATAAATGTAAGCAACAGAAATTATTCTGAGAAGGGGTCCATAGTTTTATCAGACTGCCAAAGGGTTCCATCATGCACACACACACACACACACACACACACACACACACACACACACACACTGTTAAGAACGCCTTATCAGAAGCCTGGCTTTACTGTATGCATGAGATGAACATCTGTTGCAAACTGTGTTGTATTGTCTACACTCCTTTGTTTGTTCATGGAAGGAATGACCATGTGGCTAAGCAAACTGAACTGTGTATTTCCTAGAACTTTGGGTTTGGGATAGCCTATGTATTACATAGAAACTAAATGAGTCTGGGAGAGTCTGCAGGACTTCAGCCAAGGAAGGCATTTTATCATGCATTGTTTAAATACAATTATTGATCCTATACAATGACTAAAAGCCATGTAGTTAAACATTTTTTTCTTTCTATTAATTTTGGCAGCAACCCTGTTATGATAAGATCACATGACTAGGGCTCACTGAAATATCGTAAGGTCAAGAAAGGTGGAGAGTTTGCTGGAACTGGTGGCTTAGGAGTTGATTCTAATTGTGAAAATTCAAAATAATGCACACCTCTTAGACCATGAGTTGGTAACACAGTACAGAGAGAGACAGAGTTGAGGGGTGTCCACTCTGAAAAATATAGAAGCTTGGCACTTTCTCATTGCTTCCTTTCATCAAGGTGGTTATGTACTCATCACCAGGATAAGCAGGGGACATCTTTCCAGTTTTTTTTTTTTCCCTTAAAGGATCAGGTAGTGGTTAGCAGTGCCATCTTTTGGTTAAAATAATTTCTTGCAAGATAGTGTATGGTAGAGGAGAAAAGTTAATGCTGAGTGAGATTTATAGTGTGAAAGGATTGGATGGAACTTTAGGAATTGTCTAATCCAACCCTGTCATTGCACAGATAAGGCTGGTGAGGCCTCTGTAGGTGAAGGGGTCTGAGGTCATATTGCTGGTTTGTGGCAGAACTGGTCCCAGCACCCAGATCTCTTGACTCCCAGTCCAATGCTCTCTTCATCTGCTAAGGTGTTTCCATCCTTAAAAGAATTAATGGGAATTCTGACTGTCCAGTGTTGGGCAGAGGTGAATCATGGGATGTTTGATTCCCGGCAGGCCCTATTTGAGTAAGAATGTTTGCAATTTATTTTTGTTATTTTTAGGCAATTGGGGTTAAGTGACTTGCCCAGGGTCACACAGCTAGTAAGTGTCAAGTGTTTGGTCTAAGGTTGGATTTGAGAATGTTTGCAATTTCACAACACATATGCACATATTGTTTGCTGTTGTTTCCAAGTCATTTCAGTTGTGTGTGACCCTTCCTGACCCCATTTCGGGTTTTCTTGGCAAAGATATGGAGTGGTTTACCATTTCCTTCTGTAGCTCATTTAAAGATGAGGAACTATGGCAAACTCGGTTAAGTCACTGCCCAGGGTCACACAGCTAGTAAGTGTCTCAGACACACTGCTAGTGTTAGAGGTATAATTTGAATTCATGTCTCCCTGGGTCCAAGTTCAACCCCCATACATACAACACTGTCTCTACTATCATTATTTATTTCAGAAAACCTAGCTATTGAAAACTAAATTTA